ACTTCACTGGAACACATGCCAAACACCTCAGCCTCTCCAAAATTTGATCAGTAACTCACTTCAATTAACAATAAACTTATCTAACCTTGACTCATTAGCTGAGTCTATTGCTAATATACATCAACAAATCAAAAATCTTCAATGTATGCAGATCCACAACTCACCAAATATACTATCTCTTTTATCAACAATTCCTGGTCTTGTTCCTATTGAAATTATATCTGTTCTTACTGATCTCACTTTATCCAAGAAAACTGCAATATCACTTGCAATCAAATTTCAGTTACATCTTAATAAACAAATTTATAATTCTATCTGGATTCCATATTGTATCTCTAGATCCCAAGCTAATCTTTCTGCTAATCAATCATCTTCTATATCTACTATATCATACCAAACTTGATCTTCACTCTATTCAATTGCTAGTCCTAAATTAGAATTATATTATCCAAAATAGATTAAATACCAATTTGACTTTCACAATTTACTCTTAAATCCCCAAATCAAGATGAGCCATGACCACTCTTGTAGGTTTAGATCACAGATAATTATGTTACTATATATTGTAATATTGTGTCTAAGACTCTAGTCTTAGTATCCTCTGGATATGAAGTTCAAATGTAATTTCTTTCTTGTATGTATTTTTTGTAAAGGAACTTGATTGAATTTCAATAAAGTTAGAGGCATGGCCTCACCTTTAAAATTAAAAAAAAAAAGATATCTTCATTCAACTTTTTTAAAGTCTAACAAATCGAAGCTGTACTAAAATTATTTTGAGCTTTGAGCAAAAATATCTCAGTAACCACCCAATAGAATTCAATAAATTTTTTTTTATTTCAATTTTAAAATCATTAAAACTATAATTTAGAAAATTTAAATTGAATTCTATTAGATGGTTACTGAGATATTTTTATTTAAATTTTTAAATGCTAACTAAGGCCGTTCGAAGTTGATTCTTTGATTAACATCACTTTCAAGAACTCTCAGAAGGAGGGAGGTGGTAAAATGAAATAAACATAAAAATGAACAAATATAGGCCAATTTTATTGGTCAATATAAATCAAGTGATCAGTGAGAGTCATCCAGCATTTTGATTGGTTGTTTATTTTTTAGAGAGAGAATTCAATTGAGAGGAAGTGATGTTATCCAAAGAATCAACTGCAAACAGTCTAAATCGAAGCTGCACTGAATTATTTTGAACTTTGAACAAAGATATCTCAGTTACTACCAAATAGAATTCAATAATGTTTTTTAATATTAATTTTATTGATTATTAGAATTGAATAAAAAATATTTTATTGAATTCTATTAGGTGGTTGCTGAGATATCTTTCTTCAACGTTTTAACTATCTAACTATATAAAAGCTGCACTGAAACTATTTTAAACTTTGAATGAAGATATTTCAGTAACCACCTAATAAAATTTAATAATTTTTTTTTATTTTAATTCTAAAAGTAATGAATTATACACTGGTCGAAATCAAAAATAACATCCTTATATCTTCAAATAATCGGCCTAGATGATAGCAGGCTGATAGTATGATGGCTTATAACAGATATGATAATAAAAAAACAAGCTGATAGCCTGAAGATTTTAGGAAAATATGTTGTATATCAGTTAATTTTATTTAAAATTATTTAAATATTGTTACAATAATTAGTATATCAATTAAAAGATATATGGAAGATTTTGTTAAGATTTTTTAACAATAATTTGGTTATTAGATTAATCGTTAGCTGATATTTTACAGACTAATTAATAAATAATTTTTGTCTAGATTATACAATATTATACCGATATATTAAATATGTTTAGCATGATATTGAATGATAATTATATAATTAAAATATCGGTATTAAAGATGTTAAACGATATTTTAGATTTATTAATCATTATTAAAAGCAATGAGGCCAATATTTTAAAGATCATTTTAATTATTGGTTGATATAGTAATGGCTATTTGTAAAATTTTTTAAATGATATTTTGCTGATATTGTAATTTATTGAAATGTC